CCCCCAAAAGCCGGACATGTCCGGGAAAATCCAGACGTATGGTAACCCTACACAGTATAAACATAGAATACAATACAGTCCCAGACTCAGAGTTTATGATCTAAGGCTCCAATCTTCAAATACTCATTATGCATAGAGATGAGTGTTTTTAGAACTGTGGCCTTAAAAGTTAAGGCAGACAAATAGGAATAGACAACCAGTTTATTTTGTTAGTACTAGTACTTCATAAAGTCCTAGTAAGTCTACATCTTAGGTGTTCTTTAGGTGCCTCTTATATGTTGTCTGTGTCGAGTAAATGTATTGTTATATATTTGGCTTAAAAAAAAAAGATAGGGTCTCATACTGAGTCTCTATTCAATCTTTGAGAAGTGGGAGAAGCTGTTAATTGTGTGCTGATTTGAGAGAGTTTCTTCTGTATGGAGAGGGGGGTTACCAAAAGGTATTTTTAGTGTATTTTTTAAAACAAAATATGTACTAAATACATGTCAAAACAATGGCAACTTTACTGCTATTGGAGGCAGGATACTGGGCTAGATGACTAAAGGTCTGATCAGGCATGGCAAATCCTGCATGTATCATTGTCTCTATTTTTACTTAAGAAAGTCTTTTTTTTTTTAATTGAGCTTACCTGCAGGATCTGATAATGCTTTCCTAACCAGACTTTGACAACTGCTTTTGTATTTTAATTTGCAGCTGTGGGCAAGTCCACTTTCGTAAGGCTGCTGGGGAAAACCTTTCCAGAATGGCAAATGGCTACAGAACCAGTGGCAAAATGGCAAAAGGTTCAAGCTTCCAGTAGCAGAGAGGTAAGTGTGAAAGTGAATAACCAGAGTGGGGGTTCGTGGGCGCTGTGACAAGAGTTTCCATCACCTGGCTTTAGGCTTTTCAAAATTTGTTGTGTGTATTTTTTTTTTTTTTAATTATTATTATTATTTTTTTTTTAGTGGTGCTTATGAACCTCGGGGACCTAAATCCTCTCTTTATCCGCAGCGTAGGTACGTCACGAGCAGTGTCAGGACACGCTTTGCTCATTGTTCTACTATTGTGCCTCAACCTTTCCCTGTAAGACAAGATTAAGAAGGGAGTTCAGTGACAACATCATCAGGTTTAACTGGTCTCTATTCAAGATGGTTTTCCTCATCCATAAATCTCTTCCATAACTTGATACTTGAATAGATACATGTTTTTAAAGGGGAGATAAATATTTATCATGCCAACTCCTGTGATCTAGACTACGATTGCATTAACTTTAAATTCTTAAGAGCTTTAAAAAATAAATCCCTGTTTCCAGAGGACAAATATTTTTTTACTTGCATTGAGTTCAGCTCTCTAATGGCAAAAGAAATGTTGAGCAGAACAACTGGATTCTTATTAAAGACCTAGATGGGATCTGCTAATGCTTTGTATCTCTGTAGTCTCCCTGATATTTCTTGTACAGGACTTGCATCTTTAATTTATCATGAGCTCGTTGTTGTGATTTTTTTTTTAAATGATGTACATGTATCAACCGCTCCTGACCAGCAATAGTAGCAATTTTCTATGAAGTACCACAACCCAGGAGGGGACAACACCTGCTCTCCTCCTTCATGATAAACTCCATGGAGTAACTGGGGTAGGCGGGTAAGGCAAGCATAATTTTTGTCCCCAAATGGTTGACAAGCAGCCATCTGGGATCAAGGTCAAACATGTGCCTTGTTGCTAAGAAGGCTAACAGCATATTGGGCTGCATTAGTAGCAGCATTGCCAACAGATCAAGGGAAGTGATTATTCCCCTCTATTCGGCACTAGTGAGGCCACATCTGGAGTATTGTGTGCAGTTTTGGGCCGCCCACTACAGAAAGATGTGGACAAATTGGAGAGAGTCCAGCAGAGGGCAACAAAAACGATTAGGGGACTGGGGCCCATGACTACGAGGAGACGCTGAGGGAACTGGGGTTTAGTCTGCAGAAGAGAAGAGTGAGGGAGGATTTGGTAGCAGCCTTCAACTACCTGGAGGGGGGTTCCAAAGAGGATGGAGCTAGTCTGTTCAAAGTGGAGGCAGATGACCGAACAAGAAGCAGTGGTCTCAAGTTGCAGTGGGAGAGGTCTAGGTTGGATATTAGGAGGGTGGTGAAGCACTGGAATGGGTTACCTAGGGAGGTGGTGGAATCTCCATTCTTAGAGGTTTTTAAGGCCCGGTTTGACAAAGCCCTGGCTGGGATGATTTAGTTGGTGTTGGTCCTGCTTTGAGCAGGGGGTTGGACTAGATGACCTCCAGAGGTCTCTTCCAACTCTAATCTTCTATGATTCTATGTGCGTTAGAGAAAAAAGATTATTGCTGAGTTTTCTGTGTCCAGTTCTGGTGTCAACACTTCTTTTAAACTGGAGAGGATTCAGAGAAGAGCTACAGGAATAATCTGAGGTCTGGAAAACATGCAGTAAGAGATTTAAGGAGCTTAATCTATTTAGTTCATCAAGGAAGAGGTTAAGAGGTGACTTGATCATGGTCTAGAAATCCCTTTACAGTGACTCTAGCTATCAAAGGCAGAATAAAATCCAGTGGTTTGTAGTAGAAAAATTAAAACTGGAAATAAAAAGTTGTACCTTAACAGTGAGGGTAGCTAATCATTGGAATAATTTAAGGTAAATTCCTCATCACTTGGAGTCTTTAAATTGAGGTTGGATATCTCTAAAATGCTCTAGTTCAATGGCCCTCAACTTTTCCAAACAACTGTACCCCTTTCAGGAGTCTGATTTGTCTTGCGTACCCCCAAGTTTCGCCACACTTAAACTACTTGCTTACAAAATCAGACCTAAAAATACAAAAGTGTCACACAGCACACTATTACTGAAAAATTGCTTACCTTCTCATTTTTACATATAGTTATAAAATAACTCAATTGGAATATAACTATTGTATTACATTCCAGTGTATAGCATATAGAGCAGTATAAACAAGTCATTGTCTGTATGAAATTTTAGTTTGTACTGACTTTGCTATGTAGCCTGTTGTAAAACTAGGCTGAGTTGATGTACCCCCTGAAAGAGCTCTGCATACCCCCAGGGGTATGGGTACCCCTGGTCGAGAACCATTGCTCTAGTTCAACTCAAGCTATTGGGCTCAAATAGCGTCACATACATAGCAGAGAATAACCTCCTCCACTGCAGGAATCCCTGGGTGAAATTCCCTGGCCTATGTAATGCAAGAAATCAGACTAGATGATCATAGTTATTCCTTCTGATGTGCAAATCTGAGTCTTGCACCTGTTCTACACTGAGAATACCCTGCGTCCAGTCATAGGGATGGGTAGCCTGAGAACCTCTTTCAGTGAGACTTTCTTCTTAAATGTGCCTTTTTGCCATTCCCTAGCAGACCTCGTCTTCTCAGAACTTTGGCAACCTGCTTCAAATGGTCTATCAGGAGCCTTCTCGGTGGTCCTATACGTTCCAGACATACTCCTGCATGAGTCGACTTAAGGCCCAGCTGGAGCCCCTTTCAGAGAAGCTGTTGAAGACCTGGGATCCAGTGCAGATTTTTGAGAGATCTGTTTACAGTGATAGGTACAATGCTAAAAATCTCCAAACCCCTGACTGCTCCAGCTAAACTACGGTGCTTTGTTAGTCAGTATGTGCGGAGAAACATGGCAATGCCATTTAAGATACCATGTCTCTTTTATAAAAAATAGGCCATGTTTGGTGCCTACACAATAAATACCGTTTGTTTTCTAGAAGTGGGTTCCTGACACAAACCCCTTTAACATCATCAAACTGATCAGGAAATCCTTACAACTATGTAAATAGGCACTTTTCTGACCCCTTTCACCATAATATCACAAACATTTCTTATCATAGTACCTCTGATGTAGAGAGTATTACCTCTGTTTTACAGATGGGGAAACTGAGGCACGGAGCCTAAGAGCCAAATTCATTGCTGTTCTGCACCTTGTGTTGTCACTTACACCAATGTAAAATAAATGTAAAATGCCATGAGAACAGAAGAGTAGAATTTCATACTTGCTGTGCACCAGTGTAAATGACTGCACAAAGTGCAGGGTGTTGGTGAACTGAACCCAAGGTTGTACAGAAAGTGTGTGGCAGAGACGGAAATTGAATCCGGTCTCCTGAGTCCCAGTCAAGTGCCTTAACAAAAGATCATCCTTCCATAAACTGCCCCAGATTTTGTCTTTTGGCACCTACAAGAGCAGCAGAAATGGTGGATTAATGATTGAATTCTAGGTCTCTGTGATGCACAAATCTGCATGTGTTCAAGCATCTCAGAAATCAAACACATTCAGAATATATTCTGGACTAATGATGAGATGATAATGCAATCTATCTGGCACTTGAATGGGCTAAAGTCCTACTGTCAACATAAACTTGAAACTGATATTTAAAAAAGAAAATCACATATGTTAATAATAGATCCAGAGGTGATTGGTGTCCTGTAAAAACCCCTAAGAGAGGGAACACAAGAGGTAGTTGGATTTTCAGATTCAAATTTGTTTTTCATTATTTTTCTTGCTTCCAATTTACAACGCACTCGACTCAGGGAATGAAAGTAGCCTGGTCAATTTCACTCTTTGGTATACATGGAACTCTGCCTGATGGTTGCCTGATTCATTTTGGTTAAAAAGGTCAAACAAAATTATCTTGCTGATACCTCAAGGGTCATAGGTTCATGTAATATGCACATGATATTTATGAATGTTTCACATGATTTTAATTGGAGCAGTTCATACATGTTCCCACTACTTTCATTTACTCTGGTGTAAATTGGAAACAACTCCATTGTAGTTACCAGTGTGACTAAGCAGACTTTGTCTTACATGAAGAAAGCACACCGAATGCCACCATTCTCAGCAGTCCATTTCTAAAGGACAAACGAAAACCTCAGCTAGTAAGCTAAATGTCCTTAAGTTCCAAGGACTAGTTAAAGCTGATCTGTGGTGTTTGTTGTGCTGTAGTCCGTTTCATTTCCTGATTCTCTTGCATTACCTTGATGCTGTTGTGGTTGGTTTTCCAGCACAGCAGAAGAATGTTAATTAAAGCAGTTAATTTAAAGGTTTATATATTCATTTAAATGTTTCCATTTGTATTGTTTCTTTGAAATAATCTTTAGAACCTAGTTGAACATGTATTTTGAGTTGCTAATTGCCACTTATGTTGCAGACCAAAAAGAACCATCCTCACTCATTTAATTAAAGTTTCATGTGTGTACTGGAAGGAGTGTGATATATTTTGTAGTTCCTGTCAGATAATGGGACTTGCAGTGTTTAAACAGATGTTGACTTGAAAAATGGGAATTACAAGGTTTTCTGTGTGTCCAGTTGTATGAAGTGGAGCATGAGGTATACTGAAAGTGTTTGTTTTCCAAAGAGGTGTCTCCTATGATGTAATGCCTTCTAGGCTATTTGGAATATGTTGGCACTAGATCTGGCTAAAGGGTCACTTTTTCCAGATGCCTTGGTGAAGTGGATTGGAGGTGAGGTAATAAACTATATTTATGCATTTGCTGAAAGTGAGGGAAGTGTGAACATTACATAAGAGAAGCATAAACAGTGTGTTCGAAGCAAACACTTTGGATTGAGACTTGTGAAAGAGGGAAGTAATTCATGGTGTGTGGGGAAAAATATAACCCCTGACTATAATTCACTATTTTAAAAAAAAATAGTAGCTGGCTGGCTGTTTTAGTAGCATCTCTGTAATTCAAGGGCAGCATTTCAGCAAAGGGTCCTGCAGTAGAGGGTTTTCAGTGGGACCACTCCAAAGACTCAACCAAAATTTGTTAATCTTGAGGCCATGCTCCAAGACCCATTTCCACAGTTTTTGCCTGCAAGCAGTGCGGGAGGGCATTAACACCTTTTCGGTTCTGGGGATTAAGCTCTTCTAGAAGGGGAAAGTTAATGTATGATACCAATCCCACATCGCAGTCTGGGAAACCTATTTTCACTTAAATGTGTTAGAATTAAATGTCTGAGGGAATTGGTAATGAGTTAATTGAGCCTTACAACTTTAGGGCGCTGTTTCAAATTGTGCTTAGGTCAGTAGTGACCAAAAATTTTTACTGCCCTATGTCATGCCCAGTTGGTGGTCTGTGTGAAATGAGTTGGTGAGTCTCTGCCTTGCTGCAGCTGGGGTGGGGATGGAGAGCCTCACATCACACCACACAGCCAACAGGATCGGTACTATCTGACCTCATCATTGCTGGTGGTCTCAGCAGACGGGTAAAAGACTGAATGCTCCAATGAGACACAACTCCCTTCCCAACCCTAGAGAAGGTCTGTTGTATTAATTTAGGTGGAGTACATATGGGCCAAAGATGTTAACATAACCCAGTCACCATCCAACACTAAACAGTCTTAAACAAGGTGTGAGGTTTGGTATACAGAGACTTCAGCCTGCTTAGCACCATGGTGCAAACACCATTAAAAATCCAGAAAAGGTTGTTGGTTTTTTTCCCCCGGGGGAGGGATAGCTCAGTGGTTTGAGCATTGTCCTACTAAACCCAGGGTTGTGAGCTCAATCCTTGAGGGGGCCACTTAGGGATCTGGGGCAAAAATTGGGGATTAGTCCTGCTTTGAGCTGCGGGTTGGACTAGATGACCTCCTGAGGTCCCTTCCAGCCCTGATATTCTATGAAGAGAAAGAAAAACAGTTAAAGCATTTGAAATGTAAAGCATTAAATAAGGCTTTAATTTAACAACATTTCTTGTTTCCTTTCCCTTTTGCTAGAGAGAGGTTTAAAAGGAAAAGCCCTTTGTTTGATAGTCTCTTAGGCTATGTCTACACTACAGACCTTACGGTGGCACAGCTGTACCGCTGCAGTTTCCTATGTAGCTGCTCTGTGCCAGGAGGAGAGAGTTCTCCTGCCGGCGTAATTAAACCACTCCAAATGAGCGGTGGGAGAGCATCTCTCGCTGATATAGTGCTGTCCACACCGGCACTTAGAATCATAGAATATCAGGGTTAGAAGGGACCTCAGGAGGTCATCTAGTCCAACCCGCTGCTCAAAGCAGGACCAATCCCCAATTTTTGCCCCAGATCCCTAAGTGGCCCCTCAAGGACTGAGCCCACAACCCTGGGTTTAGTAGGACAATGCTCAAACCACTGAGCTATCCCTCCCTGTGGGAAAACCCTGTGAGTTAGGGGTGGGTTTTTTTCTTCCCCACACTGCAGACTGACAAACTTGGTAGTGTAGACAAAGCCTTAGATGGTATCCAAAAACGGCAATAACTCTTCTTTTTGGGGGGGACGGAAAAGCTGGTTGTTATGGGCTAAAGCTGCTGTTTGTTGAAATCAGTTTTAGAAGGAAAAGCTCTCTTGTTTTCAGAGTCTCTTACGTGGTTATAACTCATCCCAGATTGTGTTTCGAATTCAGCTGGAGCTGACAGAAATGGTGATGTCATCTGGGTCCCTCCCTGTGGCCTGGTTTGGTCAGAACGTCTGTCACGGTCCCAAAGGCCCCAGGTTGCAGGAAGTGGTAGTGGTGGCAGCCCTGAGGGCAAGTCTTGTTTCAGTAGACTCCGTTGTTTCTTTGAGTGTCCCCACCCAACCCTCAAAATTCTCTTTTTGTAAGGACCCAACAAGGGAGTGATGTGTGGAATAGCTCATTTCCTCATTATTTTGTCCACCAATTAGGCCTAATAGCTGACACACCAATTTTGGTTCACTAACATCCAGCTCCACATAATCTATTTTTCACAAGCATGATTTCAACAATCCTTGAGAACTGTATCAGTAGGCCATTTTTGTTTAGACTGTTTCAGTTTTTCTGTCTCCTTTTTGTGCCTTTTCCCATCAATATTTGTTATTATAGGTTATTGTGACATCACATGAACTTTCACTCACTTCTTACAATTAAACTCATGACTAAGGGTATATTTTATAGGCCCTCTTATCACAATGGGCCCCTACAAGTCAAGTTTGAGGTACATTGGTAGGGTGGTATAAGAGGGAAGCTCCCTCAGCCACTGTCAACTCCATCCCTGTTCTGTAGGTAAACATGCCCTCATCCTCCAGGGCTGACAGCCCAATCAACACCGCTACAACTGCACTACCTAGTCCAGAACTAAGACAATTAGCAATAGAAAAACCCTCGAGTAATTGTTCTGCTATCCAGTGTGACGCTGTTTGAACAGCCCAACTTGTCTCTCTTGTCTGGGTACTGAAATGTCTGTGTTAAGTCTATGCTGTCGACATGGCCTCTTGGACAGGGGTGTCTGTGTGTCTGTGCAGTGCCTGGTGCATTATGGATCTTACCACAGTTAAAATATACTTTGTCATTCTAGAACTGCAGGGAGTTTGTTTAGGCAGGTTTAATTTACTTGCTGTTCTCTTTTTGTCCTTCCTTTCCTAGGTACATCTTTGCTAAGAATCTCTTTGAGCTTGGCCACCTCACTGAGATTGAATGGACCATTTACCAGGATTTGCACACCTTCCTCCTACAAGAGTTTGGGGATCGAATTGCTCTGCATGGCTTTCTGTATCTCCAGGCAACTCCAGAGGTAACTGAGAGCATGACTGGAAACTAACTAAAATCATCTCTAGTGGCTGCATTGAAGGCTGGCCTTGCTTTCCTTGAGAGGCAAAGGAACTCTGGACCATATCATCTCAGAAACAGACTGGGACTCAAGAGGCCTGGGTTCAACTCCCAGCCTTGCTGTGTAATTTGGGTCAAGTCAGTTAATCCCTATGCCTCAGTTCCCAATCTGTATGATGATAATAGCCCAGCAATTAATGCGGGGTGGGTGTCTCTGAAAGGTTCCAGAAATGTGAGAGGGTAAAAACCAATACACCTAAGGACTTGTCTGCACTAGAGATTCCTGTGATTGCCAACTTATTTACCCATCCTAGTATAATTCTGGCACATCCTTCTATAAAGAACCTTCTAACTGCGCTGGGCTCTCACTGTAAAGGTCTTGACACAGTTTGCAACTGCTCAAGGCAGGAAAGCAGCAAGTAGTTGAGGTCAGTCACTAGTTGTATTATGGTAGCTCCTGGAAGCCCGGACCAAGACTGAGGCCCCAGTGTTCAAGGCACTATATGTATACATAGTGAGAGACAGTCCCTTTTCTGAAGAACTTGCCCTAAGCAGACAAAACAAAGGGTGAGAGGGGAAACTGAGGCACAAATAATCCAGTTACTTGGCTAAGCTTACACAGCAGATCAGTAGCAGAATCGGGAATAGAACCCAAATCTCAAGTTCTAATCCAGGGCTCTGTGAACTAGACCACATAGCCCTCACTGGAGAGGCAATTTTCTTCTAAGAACTTATTCTGTAACCCAGAGGGAAAATCAGTTCCCTCTGTTATGTAGTGCTGACTATGCAGTCTTTGTTCCAAACAGCTACTCTTTGCTCATGGTTTTTTAAAGGCTTAGCCTCAGTATATGGGAAACTACTTTGAGGGTTGGGGGAATATAGACTGCTTTTATGTATGGATGGCTTCTCTCGGGGCTTCCTCTTCGTGCATCATGTTGGCTCTTCCTCTACCTGATGATGGCTGGATTCAGCTTCTTCCAGAGCTGCATCTGTCAACACTGACACAAGTTGCTGCCCTTCTAGCACTGGGCGGGTGTGTATGTAAACATACCAAGTATGGGGCCCAGTTGTGCTTGTAGTGAAGTTAATGGAGTTTTGCCCCTAACTCCAGTGGATGAAAGGTCAAGTCCTTACATACCCACTAAACGTCTGGCCCTAGACAGGCATTGTGAATTCTAACTTGTCTGTTGTGTGAAGCCATCCCTACTTTGTGTGGCTGCATCCCTTTCCAGCTGCCTAATGCTGAATTTGAACTACTGCTTTTGTCTGAAGTGCCCCATACCCATTGGCCCCATGCAAATGTGGTTGGGTTTGCAAAGCAGACCTCATTGAGTCCTGAGGGGTAAATGAGTGGGTCATGCTAATGGAGGAGCTGTCATTTCCTCCCTTCAGAAATGTCTGGAGCGGTTGCACCGAAGGGGGAGGCCTGAGGAGAAGGCGATCCAGTTGGAATATCTGGAGCAGCTTCACACTCAGCATGAAAACTGGCTAGTAAAGAAAACCACGGAGTAAGTGACAATAGAAATGGCTTCCAGATTCTCAGCGAAGCAAGCCTGGCACTTTAAATGGGTGAATAATATGTCTTCTGCTGTGCAGAGGTGCCTGTTTTAGTTTGTGGCCTAGCTCCCTACCACCATCCTGCCTGTATAATCTGGTACCCTTTCCCAACCCTAGAGATTCCCTCCCTGATGCCTCCAGCTGTCCACCACCCTTCTTCATCCCTCACTTAGTCCTCCCATTACCCAGCCAGCTTTCTGCCATCTATCTTAATGACACCGAACACAGTCTTCTAAGGACATTTCAGCAGGCTCATCCCTTTCAGCAGTAGGCTTCCCCTTTGTTACTTGTGCTTCTTTCCATCACACCAAATCCTGTAGTTCCTTCCCAGAGACCACTCTAACCCAACTACAGTCAGATAGTCAAGGGGCTGCTGCTTCTGGGGCTTCTCCACTGACTACTCATTCTATCACTTTTTGTACCACACAGCAGGGTCACAGAAATAAAGTAACTTGCCCAAGGTATCACAGCCAATCAGTGATAGAACCCAAGGGTTCGGGGTTCCAGTCCTCTGCTCTATTAGGCATGTTCCCTTCCCAGATACCAACAGGGTATAACAAAATTCATGATGGGCCTCAGAAGAGGGAGAAAGCTCATCTACCTCATGAAAATCTAAGGTGACCCCTTCCCTTCCATACTCTTACCTTGGGTTTTGCTTGTATAATGTGCTGGTAGTTTACTGAATCTTGGAGTCCAAACAGGGTATAGGTATCTTGCTCGGAAGCAAGTAGAGAGCTCTACTGTCTTAGGTGCTGATGCCAATGGGAGTGGAGGGTTCCAGGCATCTCTCAGCATCAAGCCCTTTGCTTGGAAATCTTCTCTTTCGATGGGGCAGGAGGGAAGGGATTTGTTCTCTGCAGCTGAAGGAGTCTTCTTTTAATGATGGTGAAATTCTTATGCAGCAGACATCCTCCTTATGATAAAATAAACGTATGTTGAAGCAGTGGTGTGACACATCTGTTCTGTGTCTGGGCATATTGTCTCTTACCTCTCCCCAGAGGTACACTTAATAAGCCTATTGTTCAGTTCTCTTGTTGTTTTCTTCAGGGTCCACTTTGAAAACCTAAGGAATGCTCCAGTCTTTGTGCTTGATGTCAATAATGATTTTGAGGATGACCCAGCTGAACAAGAGGAGCTCATGAGGAAGGTAAGCAGTGATGATACCAGCTCATTTTTGCTATTCATGTAAAACGCATAATTAGACATGTTGTGTGAGAATGAGGAATATTTTCTTTCTCCTTTGCATGTCTTTCTCCTTCTAATAGCCATCTGTTATGTACTGTCCTATCAGCTTGGACTGTCCCTGCAGCAATATCACCTTATACTCTGATCCCATTTCATCCCACAAGCTAATCAGTCAGGTGGGGTCAGCAATTGGACAAGAGAGCTCCAGGTGCTGTGTATGTATGCTAGTTACTGTCTCCAGCATCCAGGGTTGGTATTAAGAGATGCTGTGCTGCTAGAGGTGATGACTTATAGATAAGACATAAAACTAAAGGCCTGATTGCTGTGAGATCTTTAGAGTCACACTTCTTGAAAGGCATAGTTTTCCCCTCTTGGCCAAATGCCATATCAAGTAATAACATGCTATCTGTGTAAATTACCACTGAAGTTGCTGTTGGATACGATTTTCCAGTTTCCTACCCTAAACCATAGCATTTTTGTCAGCTATTAAACAGCTGACGGGTTTCACCTCAGAGGCACTGTATTTCAGTACTGGAGAAAAACGATCCTTCTGAATAGATTTTAAAACTATAGCTCCTCTCATCCTTGAGGAGCCTGAATAAATAGAAGATGACAATATTACTTCTCTGATCAGTGAAAATATACCGTGAATTCTGCCAGGAAGTTCATAGTGGAGCTTTGTTTGTTTAAGAGCAGGATAATGTTTGTCCATTTTTATTATTACTACTTGTATTATGATAAGTACCTAGGAGCCACAGTCCTGGACCAGGAATCCATTGCGTGAGGCACTGTGCAAACACAGAAGATGATAGTATTCTTCCTTTTGTGGGGTTGTATTGATGTGGTGGCTGGCTTGCTAGAGGGGAAATGCTGGTATTTTCCCAGGGAATACATTGGTGGGATTGTATTCTACCAATATTGTGTATGTAATGCATTCATGTATGTATGAGTCTAATAAACGAGTTATGTTTCACAGACTTGTTAAATATGAGTACATTGCAGTGTTACTGCCTGTCCTCTAAAATGTATATGAAAAATTGTATGCTTGATTGTAATCTTCATGTGTGTTTGTATAGCGCCTGCCACAGTGGGGGGCCTTGACCTTGATGGTGAACTTTGAGCACTACTGCAATGAAAATAGTGATATCTTCTTCATTGACCCCCTCCAGGTCAAAAATGTTAAGACCTGCTAAAGCTTGTTGCTCTATCAGTATTCCTAAGAAAATAGTCTAACTTTGAAGTCCTTGTGATGACTCCTTAGCAAATAGATTGTTTTGAATGAAATGTAGAACTACTTAAGTTTTTGTTGCATGCTTTTCGTGCAGTCTGATAAATTTCACTTTTATAAATGGTGCTCTCTTTCCCCCACAGGTAAAGGCTTTTATAAAGACTCTGTGATCTGAAGCTTTGCCATCTCCCTCCACTACCAATCCAGAATTTCTTATTTATTTGCGACCAGTTGAACCTGATAATGCTGCTTGCCATTAAAAGGTCAAACAAAATAATCAGCAAATCTGTGTGTCAAACTTGGAAGGCCAAAAATGTAACTGAGGTATTTTAGTGAATTACACTTGAATTCTGTGTTTTTCTTCCAAACCAAATGTTACTTTTCCAGGGAGGGAGAAAAGATGTACAGTCACCCATGAGCAACCCTATAGTAACAAACCCATGTGAGTCTAATGGAAAGAAGAAGATTAAGAATCACAGAAAATTAATTTTCTGATCTTCCAAAGGGTGTTATGATCAGTGGGGGAAAGAAGTGATTTTAGACGTTATGAAGAATCCCTTCTACTTATGCCACAGCTTAAGTATTTCAAACTTGATTTCCTTTCATTGCTGAAGGTGATCTTCAGAAACCTTCTATTCCATTCCATGCTGAATGTACCCAATGAGGGTGTTGTAAAGAATTATAGGAACCAATGGTCCTGATTCACCACTGCTCTGCACCTGTGCAAAGTGAATGTAATATGCTGCCAAATCAGTGTCAGCATTTCACACTCATTTAGCACAAGTGCAAGTGGTACGTTCAAGTCAGTGGAGAATAAGACCCAACATAGCCATTTTTGGCACTTCTAATCCACTCATTGCAGTAGAAGGCAAAGACTTACTTAATATTAAATAAGCCAGCTTCTCTTATTAAGTTTGCAACTTACTTGGTGTGTTTGTTTTCCACATCTTGAGCCTAATGATGAATTACCCTAGTATTAGGGTTACCATATTTCAGCAAGCAAAAAAGAGGACGGGAGGAGCCCCGCCCTGCCCCTGCCCCACCTACTTCCCGCCCCCCTCAGAACTCCCAACCCCCCCCCTTGCTCCTTGTCCCCTGACTGCCCCCTCCTGGGACCCCTGCTCCTAACTGCCCTCCAGAACCCCACCCCCTACCTAAGCCTCCCTGTTCCTTATCCCCTAACTGCCCCTTCCTAAGACCCCCCCCCTCCCTAACTGCCCCCCAGGACCCTACCCCCTACCTGTACCCTGACTGCCCAAAAC